AGGAAAAATGAGAAAAGGTTAAAAATACAGGAGGTGGTTAGTCCTGAGAAAAGAAGACTGAAGTAGGACCTGATGACAGTCTTTAAATATGTGATAAAGAGGATAGTGATCAATTATACTCCATGCTGACAGAGGGGTAAGAAATAATTAGCTTAATCTAGAAAAGGAGTCTCTCTAGACATTTTAGTGTACTTCAAGCTGGGGTACAAATCACTGACTTGTTGTACACCAAGTTGCTGTGTGGAATTTGGCACAGTCTGAAAGTCAAAACAACCTATAACAGTTTTTAAATTGATGCCACTGAAGGTAATTTGAAATTTACAAAACCAGGATGCTTCGTCAAGACTGCTAAGCATATGTATTTGTCTATCATAAGAAATATAATTACAGATTGAAAAAGGAGTATTGAGCTGGATTATCCAGTTTTCTGATATGTAATTGTGGATTTGTGAGACTAGTCAACTCCAACAATAGAGTTTTCAAACTTAGGTCCTTACAGGTCAGCTCTTAAATCCATATTTAGGCAAATAAGTGGCCTTCTCTTCAAAAGTGCTGATCTATGGCAGATTCAACAACTCAGCTACTCTGAATATTAGGACGCTTGATAAGAAGCCTAAGTAGGAATTTAGGTCCCCAACTATGGTCTCTATTTTGCTATTGTGCACTAGAAATTCTGTAGTGCACTTTGACCTACTGCTGTAGATAACAACATGCCATGGAACTTTCAGTGGGAAGTAGGAGGATATTCATGAACTTTTAGGCCTCATCTAGACTACAGGTAATGGTCGAAAAAATATGTTCTTCCAGTTGCACTTTCAAAAGCAGAGCTTTCGAAAGTGAAATTAATTAATACGTGGCTTTTTCGGCGAACTCCCCTTTGTCGAAAAGCCGCGTAAACCTCCTTTTTTGAGGAAAATTATAGCTCTCTAATTCTCAAGCTGTCCTCACCCCAGATGTAAGTTAGAATAACCTAGGGGAGGCCATTGTTTTACAACAGTTAGCTACAGTCTCTGTGAATAATACATCACCTGAGAATTGCTATCTGGGAATGGAGCTCCCTTCCTACCCACTCCTTAATCCTCTGTCAATGCTGAGATGGTGGTGTAACCCCCTTTTTCCTCCCCGGGTTACTCAGGAGCAGATCGCACTCACAGGTGTGCCCGGGCGCCTGATTGTTTTAACCCAAAAGGAGATACTGAGCACACCCGTGGTAATGGTGTTTAGTTGGGGAAAGCCCTAGCCACCCCCTTGCTGCAGTCCCTTGCTCATAATGAATGTACAATGACGGTGCCTCCACCTGGCTGGCCTTGTACACACTCCTAGTGTGCCTTGAGACCCTCCAGGAATATACTCATTCCAGCTATAATCTGGACCTAATTCCAGAACAACAACTACAAATCATATACATCTAATAGATTACATTAAAATAAATAATCTTTACTTAACTTAAATAAGCAGGGTTTAACAGATTAACAATGAATAACATTAACAAAGTGCACAACAATAAATGGAACATATATATCCACCCCAAGAGTGTGCACATCCCTAGACTCAGATTCCCAGACTCTTGCTTGCGTGGGTGCACTTAAAGAACTGCAGCTGTAGTGGAGGTTCTCTGCAGGCAGTGTGTATATGGATCCAAGCTAGGCTGCAGCTCTGTCCCAGGCAGCACCCTTCCCAAAAAGGCCCAATCACTTACAGCCTCATGCTGTGCCTATCAGAAGCAGCCTGCTAGATCCCAGCTCCAAAGGCCTCCAGTCCCAGTCTGCAGCTGCACTCCAACAGCCCCGGGACTGGATCAAACTCCCCCACAGCAGCCTGGTTCCCCTTCTCTTCCATGCACAAGGCCTCTCTTTCCATGCACATGGAAAGCCCCTCATCTCCCACACAAGAGTAACTTCCTTTCTGGTTCTCCCAAGGGCTCATGGGAATTGTAGTCTGTGAGGCTGGATTGCAGCACACAGGGACTTTCCAGAAAATAAGGAGGCACCTTTAGTAGGGGGACTACAGTGGGATGGCCAGAGCTGTCACAGGAGCCATTTCCAATAGCTATATACCCTCCCAGGCCAGTTCTCACACAGTTTGGGCTTAGTTGAATCTAATGAAATTGTTTTTCTCACTTTCACTGGTTTTATATAAGTGTATCTTCATTTCAGTAGAGTTACTCTCCATTTCTTTTAGTCTTAGTGAGAGGTGCATGTGGCCCATTATGTGCAAATCTCAGTCATTTGCCTCCCACTCAAGTAGTAGGTTGCTCCCACACTGCACAAATGTTCCTTTTGTCATCGACAAAGTGCTAATATGACAAGTTTATAGACTTGTGATTTCCTGTTTTATTTTTCTGTTGCTCACTCTGGGTATGTTTACACTACCCCGCTAGTTCGAACTAGCGGGGTAACGTAGGCATACCGCACTTGCAAATGAAGCCCGGGATTTGAATTTCCCGGGCTTCATTTGCAAGTGCGGTATGCCTACGTTACCCCGCTAGTTCGAACTAGCGGGGTAACGTAGGCATACCGCACTTGCAAATGAAGCCCGGGATTTGAATTTCCCGGGCTTCATTTGCAAGTGCGGTATGCCTACGTTACCCCGCTAGTTCGAACTAGCGGGGTAACGTAGGCATACCGCACTTGCAAATGAAGCCCGGGATTTGAATTTCCCGGGCTTCATTTGCAAGTGCGGTATGCCTACGTTACCCCGCTAGTTCGAACTAGCGGGGTAACGTAGGCATACCGCACTTGCAAATGAAGCCCGGGATTTGAATTTCCCGGGCTTCATTTGCAAGTGCGGTATGCCTACGTTACCCCGCTAGTTCGAACTAGCGGGGTAGTGTAGACATACCCTCTTTTATCACATTTTCTGGACACACTAAGTTTGAAGCAGAAATTCCTGAGTGATGTCAGAAGGAATTAGAAAACCAGTGTCAGCTGTGAGAAAACATCAGAAATATGAGCTGAAATGCATTATTGCTCCCTTCCATTTATCGCTTCATTTTCCTGAGCATGGAATGGTGTTTGAGTGTAAAGTCACTAACTTGTGTCACAGAATAGATAGTTTGGAATAGCCTGTTGGTCTCTCCGAATGGTTAGAATGATTTATAATATCTGACTCTTGTAAATACTTAAACTTGGAATGTAATTGACTTTCCCACATTCTCAGTATCCTATCATATATATACTAGCCTAATGTCTGTGACTCTGAAATGCTGGCTGTTGCCTCTGGGCGGCGCTATTGCCTGAGTCACGTCCTTTGCCTCCCGACGTGGCGCTCGGCTGACTTCTGCCCCCCTCCCTGGGAGAGCCCAAATGGTCGCTTGCTCCCCCGCAACAGCCAGGATGAACGGTGCAGAAATCAACTGAGCAGTGGAAGAGAACTGTGATTGGGACTTGAGTTCTCTGTCCAAGGGTCTCCTCTTTATTTGGGAGACATTATTCTCCACAGGCAGAGAAAAGGGAGGCTAGACTACCTCTACTTTTCACCAGCAGGGATTCCCAGCAATAGCTACCTTCCCCTGTACCCTATTGTCCTACTCACTAGTCTTATTGAAACCTGTGGGCCTTATACTGCCAACAGTTTTAAGGCCTGAAGTTGGGTGGTGAACAGCATTTCCTGGTTAGGCACCCAGCACAAAAATAAGGGTGGCAATACCAGCCTTTAGGGGTGAATGGCCAGAAATGAGATTTCATAGGGATTTCATGGTCTGTGACTTAATTTTCATGCCTGCAATTTTGGTAGACCCCCCTAATAATAAGAACCAGATGCCTCTTGATCTTTTTGGTAGCAAAAGCTACTCTTCTGCAATTTTGCTATTTCAGGATAGTGAATCGTTAGATGCTCATGTCAAAATATGATTCAGTTGCAATAAATTTAACACCATCATATATATAGTAGCCCAGTGTCTGTGAGTCTGTAACGCTGAAATGCTGCCTGTTCCCTCTGGGCGGCCCCCCGCGGCAGCCCGGCTGAATGGCGCAGAAGTCAGCCAAGCGCCACTGCGGAATGGGAAGGGTGGCAGAGTGGTGACATGCATGGCCAGGGGGTGGGGCCTGGTTGAGTGTGCATCCCCGACGGAGACAGAGGAGAGGGGAGGAGACAGAGAGGAGGCGGAGGAGAGCGGAGACAGAGTGAGAGGCAGGAGGGGGAGAAGAGAAAGAGAGAGATGGAGAGAGAGGCAGGAGGCAGAGGAGAGCTGAGAGGGGGGGAGGCAGTAGGAGAGCGAGAGAGAGAGAGAGAGAAAGACAGAGTGAGAGACTGGAGGCTCAGGAGAGAAGAGTGAGATAGAAAGGGAATAGGACGTGGAGGAGAGACCCGGAAATCCTGTCTTATGACGGACTATTGGCTAGTTAATAAGAAATGTGCAGACAGTAAATCATACTAAGCATTGTTGACACAAGTCCTCTCACTGAACAATATACTGTTCTTGAATGTAAAAAGATCAGCGTGTTATAGTCTGTAAGCAAAAGATCCTGTAGATGAATACCTTATAATATTTTGTCCTAACTAAAATTTTTAAATATGAAAGCATTTGTCATTTATACCAACTTGATACCAGATGGCGCACTTAAATCAGGGAGCCAACAGTCATTATGACACACTGTTTATCAGCCATATCATAAGTGATAATAAAATGATAAAATCATGAGTAATGATCTTTTCCTAATAAATTGATCTTTGTTGAAATTTACAGCGAACAAATTGTGATTCATATCAACTATGGCAGATTAAAATTAGATGTTCTGTGTGACATTTCAGTACTCCAGATGTTCACAGTAATTTTACTATTATGAACTGCTTGTCTAGGGGTCTAAATTTTGATCTTACAACTAGACAACTCCACTTATTCAGGTTACATGCAGATAACACAGACTAATTTGACCCAAATGCCTACATTGACTTTCTCTAAAATGGAATTGGGCTGCTAGGAGAAAAGTGATATATTGCCCATCTTTGGTACTCACTGATAATCCTCTGCACTGTTGTTTGGGTTTCATGTCTCACAGAAAGAAGATAGACTGTTGCTGAGAGACCTCAAAGTTTGGGTAGAACAGTTAGAAAGGGACCTGACCAGGGCACAGATGGCAGAAGCAAGCTTACAGGAGAAATACCAAGTAAGTTATCAAAAACATTACATGGTGGAAGATTTTTGTCATGATTGGTGTCATATGTGCCCCTTAATTTGTATCCTTTTCTGTATAACAATTAGAGTGTGCTGACTGCATAAAAGTGTGCAGTGTTTCACTGCTGAAACAAATCTGAGAAGTCTGCAGATGTCTACATTGTGCTCCCTGGATCTTCAAATAAAAGGCACATATCTAATACAGATCTGCCCTTAGGTGGGCAGCTAGAGACAGCTAAGTCCTGTCTTCCCAAACATACATTCCAGATGCTGCAGAGGCTACTCTGCATGACAGAGGTTCTGTGACTGGAGATAGCTGAAGGGAAGTCAGTCTAAGAGGAAGATTGGGCTGGCCTTGGGCAAAGGTGGAGATCACATGTCACTCCCGTCCAGCCAGCCTGTGGAAATTAGTCAAAATGGCAGATACAGAGTGGGCTTGAATTATATTTTAATGGAAACTCCTTCCTACACTGGGGGCAGCTATAGCCCAGAGGAGACCTCGACAGTGTGGCCCCAACAGAGTCATGCTGCATGGGGTGAATGGATGGGTCAGAAAAGTGCCAGAGTCCATGGAAGCACAGAGTCTGCCTCCAGTGGATCTGCCTAATTTGGGTGCAGATCCTACAGCCTTTTCCAGGTGGGCAAATTCTGTCCTTCTAACAGGATGATGTTAGGGCAGGTTTGTAGAGATTTGCTATCTCTAAAAACCCTTCCCTTGGTTTTGCTGTGGAAGGAGATGATTCAGGCCCTGGGAATGATCCTGAAGTAATTGAAATGAAGAGGTTGTTTTCTTTGCCTGAATTTTGCTGCATTTTACTTCTATTTTACAAATATATATTTGGGTCATATTCAGCTCAGGAATAATAATTTGAAGTCAGTTGCTGGTATAAATCCTGAAGGAGTCCGATGAACTTCATGAGTAACACTGGATTTAAATTGCTTTAGCTCTAAAAAGTGGATTTCAGCAGTTTTTGTTAAACCATATGTTATTAGCTTCCCAGCCTAGCTTCTTATTTGGTTAAATTCAACAATAAAGGCCTAATTTTATGTTTTTAATGGTAGGGTCCTTCATCTCAGAATCTTATAACAACCAAAATACCCATAGATTTCAGTGCAAATGCTGCATGTAGGACACCTGCAGGACCAGCTCCTGATTTTAAGATGCTGGCTCAAAAATCGGGATAGACCTTTGAAAGAGGTGGTGTTTCTACCCTCTGATGAACAGATTACAATGTATGAAGTCCAAATATAGGCTCTGATCCTGCAAACAATTATGCATATGAGCAAAGGTACACAAGTGAATAGTTCCAGCTCATTCTTCTGCAAAATGATACTCAAAGGTGTAAATGTTTGCAGTCTTGCTCCTTCCTGAGTTTGGCATTGGTAACACCACATCATAAACTTCAACCTAAATAGTGTCTCCAAGTATAGTTTTTCATAGGAGTTTCCAGGCAGGCCATCTCTGCATGAAAACTTGCTCTAACCCTTCTTGTAACCCTGTAACAAATATGGACACTCACCTGCCGTGAGCACCTGCCGTTCGGCTGAGTGCAGGGTCCTGCACTGCCTCAGTCTTAAAAGCCTTGCGACTACTCAGCCCTCTGGCCGAGTGTGACATAGTGGGGGTACCTGGCTGGTTTCTATGCTGCTGGCTCTGGGGGAACCCCCACTGGCTGCCGTGGGTACCACGACCCAGCAAAACAGGATGAGTCACTATGCAAACCAGTGGCCAGACACCCCCCATGGAGAGGAACAAAGGAAGGTGGAATGCTGCCTTGGCTGGGGGGCAGGGCTGGAAGTTGGTGAGTTGGTTGCTGGCTGTCGGAGGGCATGGAGGAGAGCCTAGGAGAAGGGGCTGGAGTTTAGGGGCCCAGTCTCCCCCATCTCAAGGGGGCCTGAGGCATCCTAGCCCAGTTCCTGTGACCAGATTACATCTGTGCTGCGCTGTGCTGGAGGAGCAATAAACCACCCTCAATTCCACTGGCTGGTGCAGTCTGTTTGTGCCATTTCGGGGTGCAGGAGACGGGGAACCCCCAACGCGCCGTCACACCGAGTCACACAGCCTTGTGTGCATTCACAATCCCCTTCCAGGATACACCTCTAACAGAGACCCATCTCAGTATGCTCTGCAGAGTGTCTCTGAGGCTAGTCCAGTCTCAGTCTGTTTCCCCTCATTCTCTTTCCCCACTCAGTATGGGTATGTCTACACTACCCCGCTAGTTCGAACTACCTAGTTCGTGCTGCGTGTAGCCGCGTGGCACGGGGTTCGAACCAGCGGGGATTTAAAAATGGCGGCGCCCTGCTTATGCAAATGAAGCCCGGGATTTGAATTTCCCGGGCTTCATTTGCAATTGCGGTATGCCTACATTACCCCGCTAGTTCGAACTACCTAGTTCGTGCTGCGTGTAGCCGCGTGGCACGGGGTTCGAACCAGCGGGGATTTAAAAATGGCGGCGCCCTGCTTATGCAAATGAAGCCCGGGATTTGAATTTCCCGGGCTTCATTTGCAATTGCGGTATGCCTACATTACCCCGCTAGTTCGAACTAGCGGGGTAGTGTAGACATACCCTAAGAGAGTGGTGCCTCCAGGGCTTCTCCTCCTAGAAACAGTGTCCTGACTAGCTTCCCACTCTGAACTGTCCTGGTTCTGCTAACCAGCCCCCTTGACCTTCTCTTTCCCAGATCTGGGCTGCAACTGAGCTGCCTCTGTTTCTGAAGCTCCTTTTGTAGTCCTCCCTGGCCCTTCCCTGGAGTCCGATTCCTCCATAGCCTCTGTAACCTCCTGGAAGACTTAGGGCCTAGCCCCATTACAAACCTGCTGAAAGGTAGTGGAATGTAACTGCTGGATCTACTCAGCAGTAACTTCTGCCTTGCTTATAAGGTTCAGGTGCCTAATAACTGGAGGAAAACAGAGGAGCATAAGAACAGAAGATCCTTTGAGTCTTCTATCGTGTTAAAATATTTAAAAAAAATATTTAATAAAAATGTTTATCAATGAAGTTCACAAAGATACATTCACACTTGGAAAGGATAATTTTTTTATCAATTCAGAATTGTAAAGTAGCCAACCTTATTCCATACATGTCCTATCATTTCCTTCTCTGCCTCATTGTACTTATTTTCTTTTCATGCAGTCATTTAAACACTTCCGAGTCCAGTATGAAGTAAAGAGGAAACAGATTGAATTTGTAATCCAGTCTTCACGTAAAGATGGTAAATTGTCGCTTGATCAAGCTATGGTGAAGCAAGCTTGGGATAGAGTTTCTTCTAGGGTAAGTTAAAAAAATTAGTACACTAAATTATTTTATTAGACTTTTTTTAAGTTTTGGCCAAGCAAAGATTGAATAAGGCCTATAGGGTAGGCTACCTACTGTGAATTCCCCTTTGTTAGAAAATACATTGATAAAACCAAAGTAGTATGAAGTATTTTGAATACACAACTAATAGTACAATTCACAACTCCCCTCAAATTGGGTTGACAGAACAAGTTTTGTATTATACAACTGTTAATTTACAGAATTATTTGTATCTGTCTTCCAGTTACTGAATATTGAAATTTGTTGAAAAGGTATAACATTATTCACTGGCATGAACACATGACTTATGAGTGGTGAAGGAACAAATGATTTATATTGATCATTCCAAATAAGAGCCAACAAAACCTTTATAACTAGTCATACTGTCATGATTTTTTCTGCCATGTATTTAATAAAAATCCATTTTGGAAATATTTTGAAGCTTTATAAATTTTCCTGGCATTATTTTTCACCTTCTAAATTGGGACTCTTCCAGAAAAATGGCTATTTCTGTAGATCCAAATATACAGGACTCCGAGGAAGAGGAAAATGAAGAGAGACCTTTCAATCTTGGTTTTTGTATAACTAATATTACATCTTCAAATATGAACTTCCATAGTTTATCAGGGTCAGAAACAAGTGGGCTGTGTCTACATTGGCCCCTATTCCGTAATAGGGATGCAAATGTAGCACTTTGGAATAGGCAAATCCGCGGGGGATTTAAATATCCCTCGCGGGATTTGCATTTTTATGGCTGCCGCTTTTTTCCGGCTTGTAGATAAGCTGGAGAAAAGTGCCAGTCTGGATGCGATCCTCCAGAAAATAAGCTTGAAAGTAGGAATAAGAGATCCTCCGGAAAAGAGCTTATTTTCCGGAGGATCGCGTCCAGACTGGCGCTTTTCTCCGCAAAGTGCTACATTAGCATCCCTATTACGGAATAGGGGCCAATGTAGACACAGCCGTGCTGTATCCAATTGGATACAAGCCATCCCTGGCATTCAGTGGGATAAGGAAAGTATTACTATGCCTCATATTTGGTGAAATATAGGAGCTTAATATTATGAACTTTTAAGTCTGCAAAATGCCAGACCATTATAAATTTGGGAGAAACAGGAGGCTAGGTAGAAGAAAGATGCATTTCTCAAGCATAGCATATATGAAGAAAATTTCTTTATGAAACTATTGAGATGCCTGTAATGTTGACTTTTGCCTCTTTTGAGAAGGAGTAATGAGTAAGAGGGAAGATGAAAATATCTGACATGTATAAGAAGCTCAGTTTACAACAAGGTTTCAGTTTTCTTTTCACAAGCCTGTCATCACCATGCCTGTGGTGTAAATATAGAATATCTGATTGTTTTTGATGGTGTACAAGTTTTACTTATGCATTTTGGGTAGGTAATTTGCATCATTAATGAATGAGGATGCCATGCATGATGTATCCAGACCAAACTATTGTAACTGAAAATGATAAATTACTAATATGTAATGCCAGAAACTGAATATGCACATATATATTTTATATATTACTTACTGGTCTTTTAATTTCTTAAACTAACTATCCAGCACCAGGTTTGTAAGGGGTCTGGTTGTCACGATAGTTACTCGTGCTATTAATCCTGAATGGAGATTCAGTGTTCTTAATTTTGTTTTCCAGCTACTTGATTGGCACAAACATCTTGATAAATCTCTTCCTGCACCTTTGGGTACCATAGGTGCCTGGCTCTACAAAGCAGAGGCTGCTGTTAGGGAAGAAATAATCATTCAGCAAGCTCATGAGGAAACAGCAAATACAATACATCGGAAGCTTGAACAGCATAAGGTATTGGCTGTATGAGACATCCCTATGCATGATGTTCCAGTTTCAGTGTGACTACAGTTCCTAGGATTGTGGTTGACTGAGGCTCAAGCTGTATGTACAACAAATTTGGATGGTGGTGGTTATTTGTTTAGTTTTGAAAGTGACTTATGATGATGAGGCAACTCGGAAACACCTGGAGTCCTAAATGTTCCTTGAAGCCACACGAACTGGATTTTTGAGATGATGTGCTAAAGAGGCTACATGTATCAGTTGTATTGATAGATAATCTCCTCCAGGTGGTGGATGATGGTCATGTGTCCATGCCCATTCTTTTAGATCTATAAGATGATTCCTTTGGCTATGAGTTTGTGTTGCATGTCTACAGATCCTAAAAGAAGTATTTAGCATTACCCTTGAATGGCTTTTATTTCTTTATTTTTGAGAGGTCCCAGAGCTAATATTCCATAATTGTTCATCTGCTCTGGGAGCTCTCTTGTGCAGAGCTTTCTACTGTTCCATTCTGTTACTGAAGCAAGGTGAAATAGCGAGTTAATAGATACAAATAAAACACTTTGAATATGTTGATAACCCACATGGCAGTACATCTTAAGCTAAGTTCCTTCTAAGCTGTGCGACTGGGAGAAAGGTGTGCTTCTCTGGCCCCAGAACTGAGCTTCCCAGAAGGGAAGAAGTGCTTTTCCCACCAGCTCCAGAACAGAGTTGCCGCAAAAATAATCTTACAAGGATTTATTTAAAATTATATTTATAACTCTTCTAATGTCTCTGCAGTGTATAGTATAATGAGGGCCTGAAAGTTTTCTTAACAAAAAAGCTTTTGTTAATCTTGGCAATATCATGAATGACAACTCTGATTTTGCTAGAATAATTCCTGGAAGTCTTAAGAAATATATTGTGAATTCTCACATGTTAAGTAATCACCCTGAGAACAAAACTTTGTCCTTTAGGTTAATAGATGTTAGATAAATTTTTCAAGCCCTATATGTAGTGCATGTGGGATGGAGAAAACATTAGAAGAATTAGTAGGAGCCAGCTCCCTGTATTGTGTGAGTATACTCACCTTTTGTCATGCAGATTTATGACATGAGGGTCACCAAGGATCCTCAGCTGCTTAGGTAGCAGCTTTGGCTCAATGTGTTTTTTCCAGCTATGCTTTATTTCTCTCTGCTGGGAAGCTTACTACATTATCCTTACCTTTGTTACATCCACAGTGGATTATTCTAAAAGTTGTTAGCTGACATTGTATATTTTATGGCCCCTTAAGGCATTCTGAAATTCCAACTAAGGCACAACTTCTTCTTCCCTAGCTTTTATATAGTGCTTATTTCAAAGTATGTTTTACCTTCTTAGACACCATTTTGCAAAAAATTTGCATGTGTTTAAATTTACATCCATAAATTATCAGTGGGATTACGCACTGTTGTTTAACTTAAGTTTAAACATTCATGTAAGTCTTTAAAGGCTCAGGACCCTTAATCATTAGTAATTCATTAAGGAAGCAAATTACGTCTGAATGCCATAGTTTTCACTGGCTTCCAGTTGATTACTGGGTGAAGTTTCAAGTGCTGGTTTTGACTTACAAAGCTCTAAATAACTTATCTATCTGAGGATCTCAGGCTCTCTGGACTTTGGAGATGGGAATAGAAGCGCTTACGGAAGTGCTGTATTGTGAGGCAAACTAAAAGGTTTCTAGTTTTCATTAATGCTGTAAGTTTTATCTGTTCTTTCAAACTTTCTTCCAAAGGGGAGGATTCTGTAGAATCAGGTGGAATGGCAGAGGATCATGGGGGATATTGGACACATTTTTGTGAATTGAGCCAAGATAATTGTTTTTAAAATTCTATGTGGTTGCACAAGTGCTCAGTCAGAGCCGCCTGTGAAGCTTCCTAAGCCTGGGGAGAGGAGGAGCTATCCTTGATTTCTTTTTTGTCAGGACAATACTGATCAGATTCAGCAAAGGATTGTACAATAAGCTGTTTATTGCTCACATTCTGGCAGCCTTCTGAAGACTTGACATCGTTATGGTTACCTCTTTGGAAACCGTTGCCAGTCATTCATTTTAATAAGTGATCTCCAGGAAATCCTTTGAAGTAGGGTTGCTTAGTTACTATAGAAAAGGGCTTATGCTTGTTTGTATCTTATCAAAATCCTACAGGTTAGGTAATGCATTCGGTGTATGTTTGCATAATATATAGCATATCATCACTGAATCTTCTGATGCAGAGAGCAGAGTTCACTTCACATTGAATATGCAATAACATCAGGAGCTCTGAATCTGCAGGCTTGATTTGGGAGGTGGGCTTAGACAAATTGAATAATATTTGAGCTAACACTTAATAAAGGATGGTATATTAGTAAAGATATAAACAGTAATTTTAGCAAAATTATGTGCTCATGAAATTTCAATTGCAGACTTTCTCTTGGATTAGTCACATATCACCAGAGTTCATTCTGTTTCTTTAAATCTCTGAAAATGTATTTGAGGCTGTGCATGTGCCATCTATTTTAAAAACTGCCAGAATTATAAGACACGGATTTAGCAGAACCTCTCACAAGGTACTTTTGCTGTGCAGATGCTCAAGCTGCTATATAATGGTTTTATATTAGGAATTAACTTGAATGCAAATGTGACAGCATGTTCCAATAACTACATTGACTCATCGCTGCAGCCTTAAAATCATGCTTATTAGTTAGCCTACTGTGAGCCTTTTCTCTCTGTTTGAATTAAACCAGGACCTGCTTAAAAACGTAGATGGTCACAAAAAGGCATTCCAAGGGATCCACCGGGCTAGGTCTGTTAATGGAGTCCCTGTACCACTGGAGCAGTTAGAGGATATGGCAGAGAGGTAAGAGCCATTTCAATCTTAAATGAAACCTCCTCTGTAAATGATGAAGGACCTATTTGCTTTATAAATCTTTTAATGTAATAATCAGGTTTACATTTGGTTCTTAGTTAAGAAAAAATGGGAGAAGCAACAAATGAGCAATGTATCAAAAAGCCTGATATTCATCATTGTTAAAGGTAATTTTGGGTAAGCTATTGGTTTTCAAAAAGGAATAATATTCAGGCTATGTATATTATTACTCGGCACGGAAGGAACATTATGTAACAACACTTAAGAGGTTATGAGCAAAGAGGGTTTGCATTAGATCAAAGAATAGAGATGTATCTCACACGTAGCAAGGTAGCTTGAACCTATAGAAAAATCCCTCCATTCCTCCTACATATTGAATGTTGCACTTTTTTACTACAGTATGATTCATTCCTAGGTTTAATTTTGTTGCATCTACGTCTGATCTCCATCTGTTAAAAATGGAGTTTCTGGAACTGAAGTACCGTCTGCTGTCACTCTTAGTCCTGGCAGAGTCAAAGTTAAAATCATGGATTATCAAATATGGAAGACGGGAGTCGGTAGAACTACTTCTACAAAATTATATTGTAAGTTTTTGTTCTTTATTTTTTAATAAATAAATTTTAAATGTTTGTAAATAAATAAAGCAAGTACACAGACAAACAAGTTATATATGTTGGTCACTAAAGATAAAATTCTCTTCTCCTGTGCATATCCCTGATCAACTATCTTTTCACTGAGGACATATGCCAGGGCAGGAATGGGAGTGGAATCCTCCCACATAATCTGGTACATCCTCATAAGGATTTCTTCCTAATTCTGTGGGCATCTTTGATCAGCAAGTACATGTAATTCTGAGTTTGTAAATGTATCATAAAAACTGAGCCAAACATGTGCTAGATAAGTAAGAAGTTAGCTGCCTTTGGCAAGTAAACTGCTGACCTCATTGTCTTCTGAGGAGGAGCTACATGCAGACAGAGGCAGTACCAGTGGAGTCCTGTATGGGACAGGTGGTGTGGAGCTTTTTTATTAATCTTCATGCTCCATACATAACCTCCACCTGGGTGTGATTACTCACTCCAAGGCAGAGCTGGATCTAGAAACTAGCAACCATCACTAAATGTGGCCATTGCTCCACCCACATCCTAGTTGAACTTGATGATTATTTACTTATTTTAGTGTCTTGTCCCTGCCCACAAGTGCAAACTGAGACTATCAGGGTGAAAATTATGCTGATTGCACCCATCTCACCTCCTTCCATGACCAGAAATAGTGTTCCAATTGCTAATCCTCACTTGATTGGCAAAAGTTGCAGTGCTAATTATCTAGTACTCATGTGGCATACAGTTCTAGAGTCAGTTTGCTGCTATGTTCCCAGTGTTACAGGGATGGACTGCTATGTGTAGTGTCCAATATGCAGACCAGATGTGGCGCTAGAGAAGGTTTTGAAGTACCATGTATCTTCCCATTATGGTAATTAGACCTCAGGGGACCTAAGTCTGAAAACAAATAGACATTGCATCTGTACATTGCATTTGAACATGTTAATTTGTGAGTCATTTTATACTTTCAAGCCTTCTTCTTTTCCCACTGGTACTTGGCGTTAGTGTGTATGTATAGAGAGGGTGCCATTTCCATTCTGGAAAATAACTAGTTCTAGTCTGCCCTGTGGATACCTTCCACTGACAACCTCAAGTACCATAGGTTGGTGACTGATGAATGCCGACTGTGGCTTAATTAGGTGGTACTTCCCCTCTGGTCTCAAGCTAAACCAACTTTGACAAATCCATGCTCAGAACGGCAAATCACTAAAGGAGTGCAAGCGCTGCTGCTGTTTTCTCACACCAGCGGAGGAGGCATGTGAAGCAGATATTGGGTTTT